ATGAGGCCTTCTTGCTGTATCATAACATGCCTAGGGCTGGGAGAGAAAGAAAGCAAGAAAATGGGTTCATTTTCATAACAACCCGCTCTCCCTGTGACTGAGCCACTCCAGAGTGGAGATAATGGCATTAATGCATCTATATTATCACAGTGCCAAACAAATCGCAAGGTGTTTTTGAAAGGGGAAATCAAGCCATAGCACGCAAGTTCCAGAGAACACAAATTTGCCATGCATTCTGGAGCCAAGGAAAACTTTCTATTATTCTGGGACTCCATTTCCTATATGTAAAATGGGGACAAAAGTACTCCCCAAATATGTAAACTGAAATGAAATGACTCCTTGATGTTTCCCTCACAAACATATGCAAATAAGAGATGCTATTTAAATTAGCAGTTTTCCCCATAAGCATATCAAATGGCTAATATTTTGAAAAAGGAAAAGAAAAATTTGGCATGGTCGAACTATAGATTTTTGAAATTTTTAAATTTTTTTCTTTTTTCTGTTGTCTGTAATGAACATGGCTTTTACAATGAAGAAACATGAATGATAAGCAACTAAAGTCTCAAAGGTCTATCCATTGTGGAATAAGTTGCTTTGACCCAAAAGACTTAGAAGGAAAAGAAGAAGCAAAGATTACAAAAATACAGAACAATTTCCAAGAGCAAAATCTTTTTTGGCGGTTTTGTTCCATGGTAGGAGCCATTTCTTACAGTAAGTGCTGCTTGTGGGGTTTTTCTTTCTCCCAACCAGCTGGGCTGAGATGGGAGTGGAGAGGTGTATGGATCATTCAAGCTCATCACCCCATAAATGTTTAGACAACGGGGAACTGTTTGTGTCCGCCCAGGAAGAGGCTTTTCCCATGCCCTTGCTGGGAAAGGTGGCGCCTTTTATGTGTCTTCAGGGGAATAGACCAGGCAATTCAGAAGCAAAGACCCAGGGGGCCCAGCAGGCCAGCACTGCTTCCTGCAGACTTTGCTCTGGTCTACACTCCCACCTCATGCACTAAGTTTTGAATATAGGGAAGTGCGTTCTTGGAGACAGAAAGCAAAAAGGAAATGAGCAAAAACAAAACAGCAGAAGCCCCACGCATCTCATTTCTCCTCGTAGTTCATTTGCCTTTAAGTACTTTTAGTGATAGCTCAATCTTTTGTGCTACTTCCCACCAAAGATTGTTCTGCTAACCACCCTTCTTCCGTCCTCCAGACTTACTGGGAAGGCACATGGAGGAGAATCAACAGCAAAAAGACTTGCTCTTTTCAAAGCCCAGACTGGCCGAGGGCAATATCCAGTGTTCCTGTGTCCTCTAGCAGTCCTCATGGTAGCCTGTGATGTGTATATTCACATGGTCCCCACTTCCCAGGAGAGGAAAGCAAGGCACAGCGGGGAAGGGAGTTGACACCGCCTTGAGTACCAGGCTAAAAACTTGGGCCTCAACATTTGATGGAGAGAAAAGGCATGCACTTGCTTCTGTGTTTTGGAAAGATCATTCTGGTGACGGTACGTCAAAGTTGTACTGAAGGTGAAAAACTCCAGATAGGTAAGACCAAAAACTGCCCCAGGCATTTCTGAGCACTCAGTGATCTTTTGTGATTCTATTTATTTTTCATCTGGTGGTGGTTCCAGGCTTCTCTTGTCCCTTTGGCAAACGTCTGCTCCTATCTTCCAGAGCTAGATGAGGTCCAGTGCCTGTTTGAAGAGTGGCTGCTATCCTGTGTGAAAGTCAGGGCAACGGATGAGATAATTGACAAAGTGAAATAGGAAGAAAATGGCTAAAGGTGTAGGGAAAGTGGGAAGGGTAGGGGAAAGGTACTAAAGGAAAATTTAAAAATATGAGAAAATGAAAAAATGGAAATAAAGTGTTGTAAATGGGGAGGGGAGGAAGGGTGAAAGGAGGACAGGGACAAGGGGAAAAATGAGAACCAAGACCTGTCATGTAAAGGTACAAGATCCCAATAATGAATGTAACTGTATGTATACCTAAAATGTACCCATAAACTCAATGAGAGAGAAAAAAAAAAAAGAAAGTCAGGGCAATGGGAAATTACCAGGAGAAGCAAGGCAGCCCGCTGCCCCTTGAGTGTGTCCAGGACCAGGGTCTCCCTGCTCTGAGCAACCCAGAAAGGAGGGTGGGAGGGCTCACGGGGTATGCACCTGCCCAGGCTCCTCTTCTCCTCCTCTAAGTCCCCCACCCTCCATCTCTTGCTTCTCTTCCTACTTGCAAAAGATTTCTGTCCTTGTTTCCTATTATCTGTCTTTTATTTGGCTCTTTATTTATATGTTGGGTTTCTCATATAAGAGAAGTCGTGACATTTAAACTCACACGTCTGATTTATTTCCCTTAATATTATGGCCTCAAGGTGCATCTATTTCCCAACAGTAACTCAAGTTTACCTTTCTTTTATGGCGGAGTAGTTCTCCATTGTAGGTAAACACCACATGTACTTTATCTGCCCATCTGTTGATGGACCTATGAGCCACTTCTAAGATGTAACTATTAAGAGTTGTGCTGCTATAAACTTGGGTGTGCATGGATCGCTGTAATATGACATCTTTAACTCTTTCAGAAAGATACCTAGAAGGTGAATGTCTAGTTTTTGTTTTTGAGGAATCTTCATATTGATTTCCACAGTGGCTGTACTAGTTTACATGCCCACCGACAATGTGGAAGGGTTCCTTTTCCCCTGCAGCTTCACCAGTATTTGTTACCACTTGATTTCTTGACGATGGCCATTCTTTCTGGGGTAAGATGGAATCTCAGTGTCGTTTCAATGCCTGAATTATTTTAAATTTTGAAGACAAGCTAATGAAAATATCTGCAATCCTCATTTGCTGCTTTGTTGCATGTTCATGTATATGGTGTTTGTTATAGGTTACTTAAATGCATTTATGCTGTAGACAAAACATTTTGAGGCATTGGGCCAATGATGGTGAAAGGATGTTTAAAAAAAGAGTCTTTAATAATATACTTTGTGCACTGCATGCTGAGTGTGTAAAGGTCTCCAAAGTCTGGAGAGTTTAGAGAAATTGACATTTTTCTTATCCTCTGACCAGTATAATCTATTTACTATGCTACTTTATGTATGTATGGCGTACTATTTTATGTGGTAATAACACTATGTGATGTAATTTCACTAGCTGGGGAGGAATCAAGGGAAGGGGGTGTGTAGTGATTAAGAACACAATTTCAAATCCCTGGGTCACCTAATTAAATTATCTGATCTTGGGACAAGTTTCTCCCTCCTCTTCGTCCTCCTTTTCCTCCTCCTCCTCCACCACCACCTCCGCTTCCTCCTCTTCTTCCTCTTCTCCCATCTTTTCCTTTCTTCCTCCCTCCCTCCCTTCCCTCTTTCCTTTCTTTTCCTTGTGGTACTGGGGATCAAACCCGGATCTTCACATATGTTAGACAAACTCTTTACCAGGATCTGCACTCTCACCGCAGGGCAAATTTCTTAATCTCTTGAACTCTAGACTTTTCTCTGTGATCCTGGAGATGCTGACAGTAGCAACAGTACTCACTCACTAACTTTATATTTGGGTGATTTTGTGACGTGCCTCATTTCAAACTTTGAGCTTGCTAATTCTTTTAATCCCAGCATCAACTCCACGAGATGAACAATAGATGATTTTCATTTTAGAGAGGAAGAAACTAAACAGTAGAGAGATTATGCAATGTGACCAAAGTTAAACAGCTAACTAGTGGTGGATGGAGCAGGGTTCCCTACTTATTCTGGCTCCAGAGGACAGGCTTTTAACCAGGCTATAGCTGTCTTGTAAGGGTTATTTAATGTACACAGGCAAAACACTTCATTTTCTATGGCATTTTAAAAGTGATTCATAATTTTTGTCTAATATACTACATTAAAATGGCACACAAGGGGAGGGTGGGGGGTGAAGGGAGGGCAAGGGTATGGGGAAGAATAAGGACCAATATTTGTCATGTAAAGGTACAAGATCCCATTGATGAATGTAACTGTACTGTGTACTTAAAAAGTACCAATAAACTCAATAAGATTTTTAAAAATGACAATCAACTTAGTGACTTTTATTGGCAATATTGTGAAGTACAAAACCATAAAAAACAAAAAGCAGAACAAGGAAATAAAGAAAAGACAGTTAAAACTTTCCCCAAAGTTTTATGTTCCATGTATCAATAGAGAAATCTGATGTTATGCTAATACTTTTGTTAAGAATAATGAAAGTACTAATTTTAAGGGTTAAGAAATAAAGGTTTTGGGCCTGGGATTTAGCTCAGTGTGCCGCCGCCTGCCTCGCAAGCGCAAGGTCCTGAGTTCAATCCCCAGTACCAAAAAGAAAGAAAGGTTTGCAGATTTAAAAATAATTAGTAGTCTAGCAATGTTTCCCTATTGTGCTTATTTGCCAATTCAATTCTAATACTGAAATTATAATCCTGCAGATATTAATTAAATGAAAATACATGTAAATATGCAAGAATAAAACATTTAACATTAAATAAAATCAGCCATTTTCCTTAGCTATCACCACAGAAAGAGCTGGGGTTTCTTTGTAAAGTACATTAATGCTTTTTCATCATGCACTTTTTGCTCTACTAGTGGAAAATATGAATTCACTTTTAGTCACCACTGTTTACAGACTTACATCCTACAACTACTAGTTTTAAGGTTGGAAGCCTCACACAAACATTAGAAAAACTGAAAATTTTCAGAGGAGAGTTTGAAATCAGACACTCTATGGTTAAGACAGTGAAAACCCTATATATAAGTATTAAAATTTTTTGAAGTGCTTTCTATGCTTGGCTTATCGGGGTGCTTGATATCACTGACTGTCATGACATCTATTAATCATCTGAGCACATCTAGCCTAACAACTGGGAAAGAAAAATTAACACAAATGGGTTTGGAAATAAGTGTTCAAACAAAGAAATACAGCTGGGAATGGTGGTGCTCTCCTGTAATCCCAGGGCTCAGGAGGCTGAGGCAGGAAGATTGCCACAATTTTGAGGCCAGCTTGGACTACATAGCGAACTCAAGGCCAGCCTGAACTACATGGTGAGACCCTGTTTCAAAAAAAAAGAAAATGCAAAGAACAGCACAATTGTTACTGGGCTTGCTTAATTCCATCTTCTTTCAGCCCTTAACCAGGCCTCTCAGAATATAATGTGATTTTTTTTAAACACAGTCAAATTTATCCCAATTTTCATACAGTAAGAATAAGTGTCCTGGATAAAGAAGAACTGCAGAAATTTAAGTCTTCAAAATCCTGCCCTTCCACGCAGGTAGAAAAATTCTGGCAGGAAATAAGCAGAGCAATCAGCTAATCTCTAACCTTCCAATGTTTTCTGTATCATTTTCTTGACTCCTGGAGCGTCTGGGTTCAGGCAGACTTTCTGCCCCTCTTTCAGCGTGGCTCTGAAAGAGCAGAATCACATGTGAACATCCTAACCTGGGAAGCAGAACAGACCCAAGAGGGGCAGAAGTGGAGGGCTTCCCAAATGGTACAGAAGCAGGGACTTACATCACTTGGACTTTGGAACAGTGGGATCCTGCCTTGATCACCTCCAAAGTGGAGATCTTGCTGGGATGGATTCCAGAGACGGTCTTCACACACAGGCAACGCAGTTCAATTAACGGCTCTATACTTTCAGCTATATAGAATGTGTGGCTGTGTTAGTGGTCATGGTATTTTCCTCATTTTTAAAATTTGTAAATGGAAGTTAATTGCTCCTTTCCCAGGAGGCCACTGTGTAATCTGTAAACCTTTAGTATAGTGCCTAGCAGATTGCCCAGCACATGTGTGTGAAGTACCCAGCATACATGCCACCACCACTTAGAGTTCACAGGTTAACAGCATTCTCCAGCACCTCAGGAGACAACCCCACCACCACCACCACTGCCTCACCAACACGGATACCGGGAAGCAAAGCCTCTACCCTTGTTTTTCCCTATATTTGTCTTACGTTGTCCATTGGTAGAGGGAGCCATCACAGTCAGGAGCAATGACAGCAGCAGCAATCCCCCTAGGACACGATGCAGGCTGGGGTTAGAGCAGGAGGTGGTCTTGAATCTGAGACTCATGGTAGAAAAGACAGAGCTGGAGCTGGTTTTGAGCCTGGACACCTCAGCCAGAGGGTGGGATGCTGCCCAGAGGTCTGCAGCAACTGGCTTTATATGCCTTTCGGATGGCTTTGATCCCACTGCCCTATAGCCAGTGAAGCGGAAAAGGCTGGCAGGGGAAGTGAGGGTATGTGGTGATAATACCCATACGAGCATAGTCAAGTTGTGCCCAACCCAGATAAATGCCAGGCAAGTCAGAATTCCTGATACATTAGTTACATTTAATGCATCATTTCCCACTCTTAATCTCCCTTTCTCAACACTGTCTTCTTTTTTCATGGGTAAGCACCCTACTTACAGACGTTAGACTGAAATGCTACAATCCACGTATTTTGTGTGGCCAGGTAAAAATAAGTTATGCTTTTTCTATACTTCATTCAGCACCTGAAAACATAAGCATGTGGCCCTCGAAAGAAAAGAGTTACTTTTCCTTTCTAGATGGCAGAGAAAGCAGATGTCCCTGCCCTGGTTGTGATGAACATCAGGGTCTGTTGGGACTATAACGGGTAAACTATGAGCCACTTATCATCAAACACTCACTTTATTTATTCGCTTATGGGCAACTGTCCTCCAAATGATTTGTCTTTTATAATTTCATCCAGAAAGCAGAAGTAGATTCATCCAGCTTTGTATTAGAAAATAAGCTATTTGTTTCTACCATCTCATTGCACCCTAAAAGACAAGACTTAATTTTTTTTTGTTTTTAACCTAACAAAGATAGATGATATAATCTGTTATACAAGATTCATACACAGAAGGTACATGTGAAATCAAATGTGCACATTCCTTTCACAATTATTCCACATTATTGTTCTTCAAAGATACCTACCAGCAACAATTAGCATCTGTTTTCTATACTATCTGCTTTTATATACATCCATGTATATGTAGACAAAGAGACGCACGTACTACACAGAGATATATTCATATATGTATGGAGATAGACATAGGGTTTTTTTCTCTCATTGAGTTTATTGGTGCATTTTAGGTATACAGTACAGTTACATTCATTATTGGGATCTTGTACCTTTACGTGACAGGTCTTGGTTCTCATTTTTTCCCTTTGTCCCTGCCCTCCATTGACCCCTTTCTCCCCTCCCTATTTACAAGCATTTTATTTCCATTTTTTCATTTTCTCATATTTTTTTTCTTTTAGACACAGGTTTTTAATACAAATGAAATCATTCAATAGGGGTCATTATACAGCTCACAACTGTCTTTCAAAAATGTGAACAAATTATACAGGTTTTTAACATTATTAATAGACTCTTCTTTTGTCCACTACAACCCTCCAAAACAAATTGCTGGTGATATTTTTGGGTCCACTGCACTTTTTTTTCCATATTTAACACTATTCAAATTTCTTTCCTCGTTACTGCACTTAGTAGAGTAACTGTATGGAACCTCTTCTAGATAATGATATTATTTGAGTTTGTTGATACCAGGAAAGAAGTAGGTGTGTAGCACAATTGTATTAAGTCAGTCTGAATAAAAAAAAGCATCTTGTCACAAAAACACGTCATCAGCAAGTTTCACGAGGAAGTAGTAACAAATTTCTTATTATTAAAATTTCACAAGCCCATTAGTCAGCATTAGAGATAAAAGAACTTTTTGCTACTTTGTATTTATTTGAGAAATATGATTAAGCATTTATTGTGTGCTACACACTATACAAATGACTTATTGAACTACTTCTTTAAAAGCAAGACCTGAAGCAATTGCCCAAAACAATGGAATATAAATAAAACTTTAGAACATAAATAACTACTATAATTAATGTGACTGCTGCTGTTAATTGCCGTTTCTCTCATCTGTATATTTTTCTTCCATCTCCATGTGTAAAACCACAATACAAATGGTGATAAACTATACAAAAATGGGCAAAAGATTTTAGAATCAGTTATTCTATTAAAAGCAGCCAGCTTATACAAAATTATGACTTAAGTTAGTGCTAGGAGTAGAAGGAAGTGTTTGGGTTCTGGAGTTTTTAAAATAACTTGGCATCTCTTTTATGAATCTTCATGGTCATCCTGTTTGGAATATTTTTTTTAAGTTTTGTGGCATGTAATTTTATCTTTTTACTTTCAATTGCCTTATAAATAGCAGAGTCATTGAGGAAACAAGCAAGTTTTCTAAGACTTAATTTAGAACTTATCTGTTAGTTATTTTAAATAAAATATTTAGAGACATTGGAGGACCATGAAAATTAAGTCATACATTAACTCTGTTTTACATAGAATGGTTTTAAGTGGTTCCTCTCAAACCCTTCTTCCAAGTATAAAAGAAATAAGCTGTCATGTGCAAATCAGCCATAAGAGTACGTGGTATAGAATTCCTAGGGTTAAAAAAAAAAAAATTCCTACGGTTAATAACATTCTGGTTCAGTTAAAGCTCCTCAGGCAATAAATTAAAACAGTAGCCTACAAAAGATTCTCCCTAAGTGCTGAAATGAGATGTTTTCTGTGTAGCTGAGGTGACAACAGTTGTCCAGACTCAGGAACTGGCAGTCAGGTTGAGGTTTTGCTCTGCTCTGTAGCGGCGGAGGAGGGGTGGAGACAACCTCCTGGGTGCTGTAACACAGGAATACTGGGAGTTTGCAGGTCTGAGAATTTGTATTTGAGTAGTATTTGCTGAATATCAAATGCATGACTACATAGTCACTCATTGGAGGAAATCCTACTGCAATGTCGTTTGAGAACCTGTGCGCACAATAAATCGCTGCCCAGTGGTGACCTTCTTTGACTGTGTAACAAGTCAGCCCCAAACTTGATGGCTTAAACGATAGCTAATTATTTCTGGTGATTCTGTGTGTGAATAAGAGCTTCCCCTGCTGTCTTTCTCTGCCCTGTGTTCACTTCTAAGAACCTAGTCTGCCTAAAAGGACTCAAAGGTCTCCCTCATAGTGTGTCACCAGCTGCTGGTGGTAAAGTGTCCCTGAGGCCCCTCCACATCCTCCTCCTCCTCTAAGTGGTGTCTATTCTCAGCAATCAACAGAAAGGTGAGGATGGAGGAGGAGATGAGGAAAGTAGAAAGGAAGAAAAGACACAGTCCTTACCTTCCCTCCTCCCTCCCTTCCCCTCTTCAGTCTTTCCTGCCTGCCCCCCTTTCTTTCCTTCTTCCTCTCCTCTCATCCTCTAGACATTCAAGAGAATCTTTGTCTCGTGGAACAACTGAGGATAATTGCTATGAAAAGACCTTCGCTCAGAATGAAAACTCCTTATCAATATAATCTCCACATCACAAGGGTCCTACATCGGGCCTTGTATGAGATTATCAGTAAAGGTCAATAAGTTGATATTTGATTGATGGTCACGCATTTTAATAAAAATGTGTAGGAAATATATAGGGAGCATACGCAGAGTTCACCAAAAATGTGTATATCTGGAAAAGGAAAACTTGTATAAATATTTTAATATTAAACTTTGAGTCATCATGAGATTATTGTGTTACTATTTGCCCTACAATTATAAGAGGTGCTCAAAGTGGAGGACATTAGCTTCCAGACATTTATTAGTATGGAGAACTGCTGAAGTGTGTATATATTTTTTTGGCAGACTCTGTGTTTTGCAGAAGCCCTTTAAATAAGACTCAGAAATAAATTTTAAAAAGCACTAAACATCATTCATACATAAGTAGAGAAAATATGAACAGATTTGAAAGAACTAAGGATGTTTAAAGCATCCAGGTCTCAATCCTCTTACTGCAAAGTGGAATTTGAATTAAGAGGCTTGGGAAAGGATATGTACCTAGGAAAATAGATGTGGAGCATCTGCTTTGTTCCAGGAAACCCCTGACTGCCATGAGATGGATATTATTCTACTAGGTCTATATGAGAGAACTGAGGAAAGGAGGCGTTAAGTAAATTGTCAAGATCTCATAGCTAGAAATAATCAGAACTGAATATGAAAGGCAACAAGTCCAACTGTACTGTACCCCAAATGCGAGAATACCTGGCCTCTTCCTGGAAATCAATCATTTTTCTCTTTGTACAGCCATGGAGGTGGATCAGAAGCAGAGATCATAAATTTATGAGACAATGCAAACACATGCATTGGAGGTGCATTTTGAGGGCAAGAGTGGGAGTGGGGTTTCCTTGAGATGTCTCTTTATTTACAAAACTGGACTCTAGAGTCTGCAGAAACAAAAATTTAATCTAAACCATAGGTCTTCCTGTGTCATTCTCTTCCTTCCTACATAATTGAAGTATGAACAGTGTTTTGTGGGGGGGATATAATATTAATTTTGCGAACTCAAGCTCTCAGCCAAAATCAGAATGATAGTACACTCTCCTCTTCATCCATTTAGTCATGGAGGTAACAAGAAATCCCCAGTTTCCTGATTAGTCTAGTAAATTTCTCACTTTGTGGCAATGAGGAAGGACTTTTAAAGTTATATATGTGAGAGCTACCCACAGCAGTTCTTTCTCTTGTGCAAGAATTAAAACTATGACAGAAAAACAAAGCCACTAGTCATGTTTGGCCATAGATTTTGTCATACCTTCAGGAATTGAAGGATTAGTGAGTGTGTCACACCCCAAAAAAAAAAATCAGGAAAGTCTGGTAGAATGAAGACCATTGTACACTGGAAATTGTCCATTTTACTAATTACATAAAGTGGATATTAGCTGGCCACTTATTTAATTCTAAGTGACTTCATATATGAGAGAGAGAGCTTCAGGTAGATAGGAGAGTGAAATAGTAGTTACATATTAGTTTTAACAAACTATTGGACATATATCTAGAATACACATTCAGTAAATGTTCCCAGATGCAGCCACCGTGCATTTGTTCATGGGAAGGTTGTTTAGTGATGAAAGAAATGGTGAGCAACGGTTGCCACTGAGGTTCATGGATGGGTTGCACTTTGAAAATAATAAGCTTTCCATTATTTTTATCATCAGGAACTAGTTAATAAGTATTTTGGAGGTGATATAACACATCAGTGATCATTTGAAACAGTGAAATTTAGTGTGCAACCTTTATGATAATTTTGTTTACTTTTCAATGCTGTAATTCATAAAGTCAAAAAAGGTACTTTTTGAGGGCTGAGGATTTAGCTCAGTGGTGCCACTGCCTGCCTCGCAGGTGCAAGGTCCTGAGTTTGATCCCCAGTGCCAAGAAAAGGGGTACCTTTTGAGAGAGCAAAGAAAGATCACACACACTTTTAAAAATTTAGAGGTATTTTGAACTTTTCTGTATGGCTGAAAAACTTGTCAGCAAATTTATATCCTCAGCACTAATTTTTTCCATATATTTGTATCTCTGCCTCTTTCTATTAGTGTCTCTTTCTATTGTGTGGATACATGTCAACATATGATAATAGAAGATGTATTAACCTAATTGATATTTTAAATATGAGGGATATCATAAGATACAGAAAAACCTAGATTAGACATAAATATGCCAATAATATATTAGCATGCTATTATATGCAAATATAGACCATTATAACATATAATACATTAACCCAATTACTACATATAATATATATATATATATATATATGTACTAATTAGATTAGCCTTCTTCCTTTCTTTTTCTAAGAAATGACTATTTGAAGTGCTATGAGAGAGTCTCTGGGCTTGTTCAGCCTAGCTCACTCATGAATTTAAATATCTCCTGTATACTAGGCACTATCTGAACAACTGAGATGAACATAAGTACTTTCCTTGCCCACCTGTGGGTTACAGTGAAGTTGAGATAAATTGATAGACTAGATACACTATCTGTAGATAGACTATAAACTGCAGTCACCTTGGCAAGAAAATATAACAGAGGAAAAATAAAAAGTGCTTTGGAAATCACCCAGGTGAAAGTGAGGGTAGGTGTTAGGGGTTAAGGGGGTTGCATGGGACAAAGTCTTCACCAGATTTCCCAATGACAAAAAGGAAAGGGCAGGTCATCAATCTTAGGAAGCTATCGCACAACCTGGATCTGGATAACTTACGGATTCTTGCACTCATTCTGTGCTACACAATGGAGATGTGGAGTTGGATAGAATATGGCTGATGCTCTGGAGAGTTCTTACTGGGAAGGAGGAAAAACCTAGAAACTAATGACAGCATGGGGTGTGGGTTATAATTTGGATATCTGGAAGATGCTGTGGAAACATCAAAATGGAAAGCAGGCTTTCTGTTGAGAGTGCTAAGGCAACTTCAGGAAGAGACGTCTCCTGATGAGAGTTCTAAAGGATGAGTCATTTTCTTCCTGTACACAGAAATGGGGCCAGTTCCTTCCAGGTAGAGCTATAGCAAATGCAGAAGCACAGGCCCAAGAAAGGACTTGCCTGGCTGTGAATAAATGCCTGACTGGAGTGTGAGACAGATGTGCCCTCAAAGTGATCAACAGACAGAGCCTCACTCTCCGTGCTTATGAAATGAGACACGTGACACTCAGTTTGTGCTCCTAACACAGAGACTAGAGATGATAAGCTTAAAAAGAGGAGAGCTTTATTTTGATTCAGAGACCTGGACGGTCCACGACTGGTGGGCCCTGTTGGTTAGAGCAAAATGCATACATGTGCAGGAGTGCAGGGTGGAAGAGGCCAGGAGTGAAGAAGAGGAAGAGGAGGGCAAGATCCGGGGGTCTCAAGATCCCTTGCAGGGCCTGATTCTGACAACCTAAGGCCTCCTCCTCAAGCCACACTTTCAGAATCCACCATGTCCCAGTGAACCAGGCTGGAGACTCAGCCCTCAACATCCAGCCTCTGGGGACCTACCCCCACCCCAACCACAGTCAGGAGGAGTAAGGATTAAAGAGAGGGGAGAGTTATCTGTGTTTTCCGAAGACCCCAGGGGTACTGACACTGTGGGGGGAACAGGAAGGGGAGGCGCACGCGGCAAGGCTGAGGGGTGCAATGGCATGGGGCAGTGGGCTCCTCTACAACCACAGAGGAGAGGAGTGAAGTTTAAAACGATGTAGAATTAATGATAAATAAAATTCATTCTTATAGCAAGAAAGATGAAACGAGTACAGTTTAGAAATCTTTTATTTTTTTTTCCAAACACACAAAGAAGTATTATAAGCCACTGAAGTGGATATTTTTTAAAGTGTCACTTTGATATAGTGGATGCTTTAGCATATAACGAATGGTCAAAATCTTTAAGTTATAGGCATCCAAGTCTTAGAAATACTGTATATTTTGGGAAGACTAAATGATGAATTCATATATCAGATATTCTTCAAAACTTTCAGAGTACTGATCATGGTTAAATTTGTTATTTAAAAACATAAAGAGGTATTTCTACAGGAACTAGAAGTCAGGAATTTACTTCTTTTTATCTTCTTAATCTATTCCAAACATATACTTAGTGATCTAAGTTATAATACACCTAATAAAATAGTTAATAAATAGCATACAAAATCAAAATTTAATCATGACATTATGCCATACTAAGAAGACATCAAATGTCTAAAGTTATAGGAAGAGAATATATTATTCCTTATTTACAGATTCCAAATAAGGAAATATATTCTACATAGGTTACTGTATGCCATACCCAACTTTCTAATAAGTATAAGATTAAAGAACACACCAGGCCAAAAGAAAGGAATTCTGTAACATGTTATCGAAGAAACAGCACAAAAGTATTTCCTGTTTCATGAGAAGAGTGAGGGTAAGAATGTCTCTCCCTCAGCAGCATTTTAAGAAAACATAATTCATCTGTTAAATTCTCAGCCTTTCTCTAACACCACAAGGAATATATCTTAGAAATACAATACTGATTAACAACCAATTATTAATTGCCAAGTAACAGCAAACAAGCAGAAAATATTATACTAAACACTTCATAAACTAAGGAGAACTCAAGAGCAAACAGTATTTCTCCATTTTCTTCAGAGCAGGGAATCCACACAGTAAAATACTGGGGGGAAAATATCAACTCTTCTTTCTTTATCAGATCCACAGCCTCCACAGAAAAAGAAGGCTCCTGCTCTTTGAAGACTGGGCAAACTTTACAGTACACCGTCCTTCCTCCTAATCAGTTTTGCTTGTTTCCACTGTTGAGAAAAGAATCATGTTAGTTTAACCAAATTTCTACATCCAAATTTCTACATCTACGTCTATTCTGGCCCTGTTTTCTAAATACAGTGAGGAAGAAGTTTGGTACAAGCAAAAACAAAAAGTAAAAGCAAGACACAGACTAAATGTATCTGCCACTGTAACAAGCTCTGCCCTAAGGCGTTGGCAACAGGGCAACACCGGTGACAAAGGCTGCTCCAGAACGCGCCATATCTGCTGCCCCTTCTCCTTGGCCACCTCCGCATCCTTAGCCAGGTCTGCAACTTGGTACCCAAACCCTAGGGAGTAAGGGCTTTGTGGCCGTCTCCGTTCCCAGAGCAGAGATGAAATCGTAAGGGTCACAGGGCCAAGTACCTGTCCAGCATTTTCTGAATAACTTTTTTGATCAAAGGGGCTTCTGGGTCCAGACAGACTTGTTTCCCGTTCTTCAAGGAAGCTCTGCGGAGAGAAAAGGATGCGCCTGTGAGCCGGGCTTCAGCACGGGAAAAGATCACTCCCTCCCCCGCACCTCGGGGGTCCCCGTGGCGGGCACTTACACTACTTCCACCCTGGGACACTTCGGGCCTGAGACAGTCACTTGCAGGTTGGCGATCATTTTGGGATGGACGCCGGGCGTGGTGCTTAGACAGACGCAGCGGAGCTCCCTCAGCACAGTCGCGACGGGACCAGCTGCGGGAAAGACGCCGCCGTTACCGGAGGGTCTGGGGTCAGGGATAATGGGGACCTCCCCACCCTTGGTGTCCCCGTGCCCTCACCGTGCGCCAGGGGCTCTGGCGGCAGCAGCAGCAGCAGCGCGAGTATAGCACACAGCAGGACAGGGGTGCGGGAGGCGCGGTCCGCTACGAGGTGCATCGTGGACTTGGAGCGCGGTGAGGCTGCGAAGGCGCTAGAGGAGGCTAAGGGCACCTTGCATCTCCAGCTCTCTGCGCTCCTTTTATCTGCACGAGCCGGTCCCGGCAGGAAACCCGAGCTCTGGTGCGTGGGGAATTCCCTAGACTTGGGGTGGGGGCTGAGGGTCCGCGAAGGCGGGGAGGAGCACGCGTGGCCCCGCCCCAGGTTCGAGGACTGCGGCTGAGCTCAGAAAACCTCTCCCTGGGCGGTCGGGCTGAGGACAGAGTCCGGGAGGGGCCTCTGCCTCCATCTAGGGAGCAACACAGCGACCGAAGTGGCCCTTGGAGAGATTTTTGAGGTCTTTAGTCACTGTGATCATTGCGATTATTCAAGAAGTGTAATCTGTGCTCAGCAGCACTGTGCCAAACCCAGACCCCTCTCCTTCTCGCGGGCGTAGCGCTAACGTTTCCTGATTGCTCAAGGATTTGGGTTCCAGCCAGCCTCCCAAGCCTAGCAAATAGGATGAAAAGGGCTTTTCCTTCACCTCAAGTCAGCGGCGGGAATGGCTTCTACATCAAGGCTGCTTACTGGAAATCCCACTCTTAAAGTTTAGCTACTGTATGTGTTTTGAGATGGTTTAAGGAAAGAAAACAGCTTCAAAAATCACCCAGCAAATTATCTGGAAACTGATACTTCACTCGTGTCACTGTACTGCACTAGTGAATTAAAAGTGCTGATCTCTGAGGGCTGGACAGGCTAGGTGCGTGCTGAGGAAAGAGGCACTGGAGGCCCTCAGCCCGGCCGGGGTTCCACGGTATCTATCTGAAAGTTTAATCGGAGGGTTTGAATCAACTTAGAAGCAAGACAGCACCTGCTCTGGCTTCCCTGGAACAACTTGGTGGGGTGTGTGTGAGGAAGGAGGGTTCCTCCCACCCAGCTTTTGCCACCTTCCAGCTTTCCCGTTTAGGGATGACCAGTGCTATTCCCATGACCCGTTCTCAAGCCTAGAGCTGCCTCTACGATTGAAGGGTGAGGTGGCACCCAACTTGCTCTCCCTCTCTTTCCGTCTCTGCTGGGTGTCGACAGAGCACTGAGTTCCAATGTCCACTCTTCGCAACATGGCAGTCATGGCTATGACACATGGACTTCCTTATGTGGACATCTAACTAGGTTCTCTAAGGATTGTTCTGAAGACCTTAACCTCAAAGTCATCGTGGCAATCACAAAAGGCTCATGAAGTAAAACACTTTTCCTTGTCCTCTGCAAGCCTTGGGATTTTTTTTACTCCCTCTACCTGTTTTTATTAGAATAATATCATCTCCAATGCTAGGCAAGAATGAGGTGTCATAGACCTCAAGACTTTTCACTCTGGAAGGAAACTTTAAGGCTGCCAAGGAAGGCTGGGAGGTTTGTGGGAAGATGAGAGGGAAGTTCTAGGTCCTGCACAGCTTCCTGATACCATGAGCATCGCACCTGACTCAGAGAATGTAATCCTTCATCCTGCAGAGGAGTGGCAAACTGCAGAAAGCAGCCTTCATTGTATTGACTTTGTAGAGATTAGAATGTGTCTAAAATAAAAGATAATCCTCACCAAACTGGCTAAAATCAAACTTCAAAAATGCAAGCAAAGATCTTGAGCAATTAAATTCAACTTAACCACAAGGAAGAAACCACACTACAATAAGACTTTGTGGGAAAAAGTTTAATCGCAATGAAAGAAGTAGAGATAGAGATAGATAGATAAAGATACACTTCCAGCAAGCTATTTTAAATATAAGCAAATGTATGAATTAATTTGGGGCACTAAATGGTAAGATCAGGAAGGCCTCACAAGATGAGGCTGCCAGTTCCATACATGCCTCACCTGATTTGCACTCTGAATCAACTTACCATGGAGTATGCAGAATATA